CCTAAAATATCAATAATTTTATAAAACTGTTAAGATACGTATAACTAAATACATGAAATTATAAAAATAAGATTGGTGCATCTGTGAGAGGGACGTGCTCCGTGGAGAGATGGGGGTGTGCCTTGTGCCCGCGAGGCTACGTCACCACTTGCGGTCTCGTCCCATCTTCGGTGAGGTCATACCTGAGGAAGCACAGGAGACAATGACAGACACAGGATCTAGCATGCAGCGTGTTGCTGACACACACCAGGGTTCACCATTGTCTGTGGAAGGGATCCCACTGGGTCCAGGGAGGGGTTAGATACCTATCGTGGCCCTTGTCTGTTTACCGACTGCCGAGTCCGTCTGTGGAAGGGATCCCACTGGGTCCAGGGAGGGGTTAGATACCTATCGTGGCCCTTGTCTGTTTACCGACTGCCGAGTCCGTCTGTGAGAAGGAATCCCACTGGGTCCGGGGTGGGGTTAGATACGTATCGTGGCCCTTGTCTGTTTACTGACTGCCGAGTCTGTCTGTGGAAGGGATCCCACTAGGTCCAGGGAGGGGTTAGATACCTATCGTGGCCCTTGTCTGTTTACCGACTGCCAAATCCGTCTGTGGAAGGGATCCCACTGGGTCCGGGGTGGGGTTAGATACGTATCGTGGCCTTTGTCTGTTTACTGACTGCTGAATCTGTCTGTGAAAGGGACACTCACCACTGGGTCCAGCCTTTGGTGAGTTCTTCAGATGCCAGAGTAACCAATACCTGTGGGTTTAAAAAAAGAAAAGTTGTTTGTTAAAGTAGGTTGAAGTAGTTTCTTTTAGATTTTTCACTACTCCTAATCTCTAACCTTCTGTTTCTATCTGTATGGAATGCTCCTTTTCTGTGGAGGCTCATGTTTTCCATCTTCCCTACCCTCATGACTCACTGCATCGAAGAGACCCCTCCCATACTCAAGCGTCCTGACGTTGTTACACACTGGAGATGACTCACAGGGACGATGGCAGCACAGCTGACGGAGACAAAGTGACACCTACAACACGAACAACTCTTCCCCGACTCAACCTTCATGAACATTATTAAGGAACGTATAATCATATGCAGAAGTTAAATGTGAACATGGACTAGTACTGGAAGAAATTCAGAGAAATCTAGCCAGTGATTTGTCAGAGGAGTGATCAGTGGAGGAGGTGGAGCTGTAGGAGGATGTTTTCCTTCATTGTGATATTTGAACAAAAATCTAAAGACTTAAAAATCACCTTCTCTTCGACCAGAAGTTTGTGGTGTTACTATGATTAATAAGCCAATACTCTGAATACGTAAAAACCATGAAAATAATTTAAAATGTCTTCCGAACGTACTGAGGTCTCACTTGATTGCATTCACAGCCCACGATCTATAAATAAGCGTTAAGCACAAACTGAAGCCCTTCCCACTACGTAGGCGCAGGCTAAACCCCTGCACTTCAGTAGGTGTTTAATTTTCACTAAGTGTGGGAGCCAATCAGGGATTTTTTTAAAAACTCACTTTGCCAAGAAGCCCTTTGTCTTTGGACAGGAAACCGCCACTGTTCTTCACCGCGACGTCCAGCGTCCTCCTCTGCGCCTCCGGCAGCGAAACACTGAAGTCAAAGCTGAAATGGGAGGCAAGGACCTTACTCAACTTTCTCCACGATTCCGCTGCATTTTCTCACAACTAAAAATGACATTGCAGATGTTCCATTTGTTTTTTACTATAGAGCTGAGTCTTCTACCAGATGTTCTGATCTGGAATCTCATGAAGACTTAAAACCAAGTTATTCTCATTATTTCCCCAACACGAGAAGACACTGCCACCCCAGGCACGTCGGTGGCTCGCTCATGGACGGGTCAGGGGTGTTCTTTGAACATGCATGTCTGACTCTCCACAGGAGTTAGACTGTGGGGCAGCGCGTGACAAAACACCCAACTCCAGGGGAGTTCACGCGCAGGCCTCACAGTCACTCTCGCTCAGCAGCGGGCCGTCCCGCCACCTCCTTCCCAGAAGGCCCCCAAGCACTTTTTAGAGGCTAAAGTCAGATGCTGCAAACTAATTGCCCACAGGGCCTGGGTCCCCGTCCCTGTGTGTGACTCGCCCTATCCTGACCGAGGGGCCCAGCCGCCATCTGAGGCTGTAGCAGCCGGAAACCCAAACTGCCGCGTGGAATCTCCGAATTTTTAAATGCTGCAGCTAAGTAGGAACGTATTGTTAAATAAAACACACCCACTTCAGGACTTGGTGCATGCCTGCCAGTATCTGATCTCTGGTTTAAATAAAGTTACTTATATGAAAATAGAATAAATGAACAGCATCTTTAGAGATAAAGTATAAACTGAATTAACAGATAGTGATGCCAATTCAACTTCATGATTTCCCAAATTGTAGGTGGTTTTTAAGCTATCAGAGGACTATAATGTAAGATCTCAAATTTGTACAGATCAGCAGCTTTTCTTTTTCTCCCGCTCTGTCGCCCTGGGTAGAGAGCAGCGGTGCAACCACAGCTCACTGCAGCCTCCAACTCCCGGTTCTCAAGTGATCCTCCTGCCTCACCCTCCCGAGAAGCTGGGACTGTAGGTGCATGCCACCAGGCCCCGCTAATTAATAGAAATTTTTTTTGTAGAGACAGGATCTCGTTACGTTGCCCAGGCTGGTCTCAAACTCCTGGGCTCAAGCAATCCTCCTGCCTCAGCCTCCCACATAGTGGGACTACAGGCCTGTGCATGGCCCAGACTGGTGGCCTGTTAGGAGCGGTCGTACGCCACATCAGGCTGACCAGAGAAGCAGATTCCAGCCTCTATTAGTCTAGACCACTAAAGAGATTTGCAAAAATGTAAACAGTGACATTCTTTTCACTTGTTTTTTTCTGTTGTTTTGGAAAACATAGTTTTCACAAAAATGTTATATTTTAAAATGCTATGAGCTTATTATTGTTGTTTAAAAATATATGTGTTTAAATTCTCAGTTGTAATTTATAGCACAGTAAATATCATCAAATATAACCCCCAAAAATGAGTTATTCAGGGACATCAATAATTTGATCTTTATTTAATCACTAGACTCCCTGTCCAGTGTTTATAACTTGGATTTATTATGTTCAGCACATCTACCTAAAGTTCAAAATGCTTATTTATTTATCTTGACAAGTAACATTTGCTGAAATTTGGTGGAATTTTTCCCTGAACTTCGGGACAGCAAACTGATGCACGTACTTCAGCCATCCCGGCACTGCCCAGACTTTTCTGTTACTCCAACCAAGTAGAACAGCATACCTTTGATCAAACACTGGATTTAATGTCTTCTTGGACACATGTGTTTTCCTCCTCCCTGACCGCCTCTTGTCTGGCAATAAATACACGCGCACGTACGGGTCAGAGCCATCTTCAGAGAAGGCGATAAGATTTCTTACAACACAAACCAGAGAAGACCACATATTAGAATTTAGGAAAACGAGAATTAGCGGCACATTCAAATTTCCTTTATCAAGTTTTTGTTTTATCTAAAAACCGAGAAGCAACAAGATGACGGGTGCCAAACCCCGTGAAGTGTGTTTCCGCCTTCACCCCACACTTGCTGGACAGCCTTCTCACACTGCTCTTTTAGCAGCTTTGCCAGAGGCAACTCTTGCCTCCATTTCTTGGGCCCAGAGTTTGGGGGACATTCTAAGTGCTTGCTCTCTGCTTCTCACAGTAACTATTGCTTCCTTTCCACCGTATGTCTACTGTCCTCTTCCAGTGTGAACCTGAGTCAGCCACCCTCCAGCCGCCGAGCCCCTCACCGACCCGCCCGGCTCCCCGAGCAGCCCACCCACTCTTTTCCCATCACAACCGTCAGACACACAACCACGCCCAATTCTTCCTTATCGACTGACCCCAAATCAGGTTAGGGTCTTGTTTTCTTAGACTCCCCTGAAATAGTCTTCTGTGCCTGCATCTCCCATGGTAATTATCTTAGTAGCAACAATATATAAGGTTCTCAATATTTACTGAACTGAACACTACATTTACATAACCTTTTTTTTCTTTCGAGACAGGGTCTTGCTCTGTCTCTGAGGCTGGCATTATCATGCAGTGGTGTCATTATAGCACTCTGCAGCCTGCAACTCCTGGGCTCAAGTGATCCTCTTGCCTTAGCCTTCCAAGTAGCTGGGACTAAAGGCACACACCACCACACCCAGCTAATTTTTCTATTTTTTTGTAGACAGAGTCTTGCTATGTTGCTCAGACTGGTCTCCAACTCCTGGCCTCAAGTGATCCTCCCACCTTAGCCTCCCAAAGTGCTGGGATTACAGGCGTGAGCCACCACGCCTGGCCTACATTTATATAATCTTATTTCTAAATGTCACTAATTTTATTTTCTTACGTTTCCATCAGCTTTTTATAAGGTCTAAATTTGTATATCATATTTTTTCCTTTTTCCTTCCAAACTCATGAAAACAGCATATATCATATTTTAAACTATTAACAAGACAGACAAAATCACAGGAAAGGAAAATAATTATTAAGACCACACCACTTGTCATTAATCAAATCCAAAGTGAAGCAACATGTCATCTCACTTTACACTTACTAAAACAGTATAATGCACAATATAAATTTTTTCCTGATTGGAGGGAAAAACGGAATGTCTGCACACTTGGGGTGTCGATGTGAACCGGTATAACTCTTTTTTGAAAGACTATGGCAATACCTATCATTAGCCCATGAACTCCTTCTATCTTTTGAATTGATAAACCTACCCCTGGAAATTTAATACTAAAAAACCACTTCAATAAAAGAAAAACACACTGTCATGTAACGTAGTGCAGACAATCTAAACATCCAACAGCAGGTAGTGTCGAATAAATTACAGTATAGCAGCACAAGGGAGTATTACAAAACAGCTAAAATGGCTATGAGAAGATGTTAGGAACAAAAAGGGAATAAAAAGTCATATAATGGGATTATAATAATAGAAAATACAGGCTTATAGAGAGGGGCTGGACTGCAACGCAAAGCGTGATAAACAGGCGTGTGCGTGTCAGATGTGTGCACGCTGGTGGGGGTGGTGGAGTTACAGGAGGTCTTCTCGGAACCACCTTCACTGCTGCTGCGGCTGGTTTTCTCAACCATCCAAGTGCCCATCTGGGTCTCAGCTTCCCGCGAGCCTGTGGTCCCTGTCTCCTGGGATCCCGGCAGACCTGTACTTTCTCAACACCCTGGAGCTTTTGATACACGTTTCTAATGTTAACAGAAACTAGCCAATGCGTATTACTAACAGCAACGTTGTTCTTCAGTTTGCTCATGTTGCTCTGGGGAGGAACGGTAAACTGATGGAAATCAACCCCCTCCCAAACCCCCAAATACAAAGCAAGACGCTTCACATGTACAAAACACACCCATTTTATGCTTTTGGTATACTTTCTCACAAGAGATTACATGTATACTCCGTATGCTACTAAAAGACCCAACTAAAAAATACGTATGCTTTCCTTCACAATGGGACACATTCTGAGAAATGCATCGTGAGGTGATTTTGTCATTGTGCCAACACTGTAGAGCATACTTGCACACACCGGATGGCACAGCCCGCTGCACACCTCGGCTGTGCGGTGTGGCCTGTCCCTCCTGCACCGGCACACACCGGACAGCACAGCCCGCTGCACACCTTTGCCGTGCGGTGTGGCCTGTCCCTCCTGCACTTGCACACACCGGACGGCACAGCCCGCTGCACACCTCGGCTGTGTGGTGTGGCCTGTCCCTCCTGCACTTGCACACACTGGACAGCACAGTCCGCTGTACACCTCGGCTGTGTGGTGTGGCCTGTCCCTCCTGCACCGGCACACACCGGACGGCACAGCCCGCTGCACACCTTGGCTGTGCGGTGTGGCCTGTCCCTCCTGCACTTGCACACACCGGACGGCACAGCCCGCTGCACACCTCGGCTGTGCGGTGTGGCCTGTCGCTCCTGGGCTACAAACCTGTACAGCATGTTACTGCATCAAATACTGTCGGCAACTGGAGCACAATGGTAAAAGTATTTGCATCTAAACACATCTAGACATAGGAAAGGTGGACTAAAAACGTGGTATTACAATCTGATGGGACCACCGTGGCACATGTGGCCCGGTGTTGACAGTATACTTCCACTTACAGAAAGTCTAACTGCTTTGTCCTTAAGATGAAACATACGCGGACCGCATGGTGACTGCCGCCCTATTTAATGTTTACAGGCAGCAACGACAGAGGATGGGGCTTGCGGCCCGGCCCACCTGCAGGCGTGTACGACCACGATGAGCTTGTTCCTCTGAGAGCTGTGCCGGATGGTCAGCTGGATCTGCCCCAGCGGAGACTGCCCCAGCGTCGTCCCACTGTGGGAAACACAGAAGGTTACTTGCTCTCCTGAGACTGTAAAAAAGCTGTGATTCATTGGTACACTGTACACAGGAAGAAAATCTCCATTCATTCAGACAGAAAGAAATCAAATCACCCACAAACTTAAACATAATTTGAACTTGTGAGTGCAAGTCACCAGTTGAACTGATAACTCACTTGAGGGTTCGATACAACTTAATTATTTGAAACTGATAGTTTTTCAGTTAGACTCAAAGTAAAAACGAGACACACAGGTTTCCTTATTACAAACATCAATTCTGTGGTCTTTGCTAAGCAGTTTCTACGCTGTAGCTACCCAAATCTGTGTCCCTTCTCAAAGCCTCACTGGCGCTGTGGCAGCCCCTCCTCCGGCTTCCCTCTGCCCCGGCCGAGGCACAGGCCCTGAGATCATACGTCCTTCCCAAACTGAGCTCCTGAGAAAAAGGAGTTCCTTGCTCAAAATTCTGTTTTCCTCTGCAGCAAGAGAGAAGGGACGGACTGATTTCTTTTTCCAAGGTGACACACGTGACCAAGGACGGAAGGGATGGGAGTGTGGATCGCAGGGGCTGTCCAGAGGCCCTGGTCCTCCTGTGCTTTCCAGGGGCTCAGATGCAAGTCTTCACCTTCACCTCTGTTCCTTTCCTATTTTCTTATCACTCAACACAGCTCTTGTAACAGCAAACAGGAAGAACTGTTTCGAAGGTCACTTTCATTCCTCCACCAAGAGCAAAAGGTTAACATGTGAAGCTTGGGATAACTGCAGACTATTTTTTCCTCCTACAGAGAGGATTAACACCCCTATGAGTCATGGGGCTTAAATAAGGAATCCGCACAAACATCCAGGACTGACAATCGGGCTGACGACACGTGAGTGGACAGGGGGCCGCCCTCCTCTCTGACCAGGGCAGCTGTGGTGGCTCTGCAGCCTATCGCAGTGGGAGGCGCGGGGCACAGCAGCACAGGGCGCCAGGCTCCCTCCTTCCTGCCCAGGAAACCTACACACATCATCATTTTCCAATCTCTAAATGATTAGGTCCTAGAAAACAGCAGGTTTTACTTTGAAAGTCAAAGACTCAGTGAGCAAAACAGCAATGCGACCTGAAGCTCTCCCAGCTAACTCAAGGCCACGCCCCCTCCTCTGGCGACGGAGCTCCCCATGGTAGCGGTGCCCACTTATTGCGCTAAGGACAGGGCGACACCCCCTCCTCTGACCACGGGGCTCCCCGTGGTGGCGGTGCCCACTGACTGCACTAAGGACGGGGCGACACCCCCTCCTCTGACCGCGGGGCTCCCCGTGGTGGCGGTGCCCACTGACTGCGCTAAGGACAGGGCCATGCCAGAGGGTAGTTACTTCTCGAGCTGCCTCAGCCGCTGCCGCAGTTCCTGGGTGGCGATGGGCAAGGAGATGTCTGAGGCGATGCTGGGGGTGGGCTCCTTGGCCGAGGTGTGGCTGGGGGACACTAGGAGGCTGGAGGAGCTCCTGCCCAGGTCACGAGGCCCCTGAGGGCTGGCCTCGGGCGGCTGGGCTCTCTCTTCTGCGCCCGGCTTATCGCTGCCCCCAGGGGCCGGCGTAGACAGGGCTGGGCTGCTGCCACCAGGGCCTGGAGATGCAGACAGCTGAGATTTGACAGAGATTTTCCTCCCTTCTTTGGAAACAGAGGGTCGTTTTACTTGAGCTGAATGTTGGTGGTCTGGGAGCCTTTCTTGCTTTTCAAGATGGAGTACCTGGAGGTGGAAATAAACATAAAAACTAGAACTGGTGACACTGGTCACATCCTGATACTTGAACAGCTTGAGAGGTATTCATTTGTAAACAGTTAAGACTAACCTCAAAACATTAAAAGAAAATCTAGTCTACCTGTTCAGTTACTCAATTATTAAAGTAATATCATAATTACAGAAAGTTCAGAAAAAAGAAAAGTTTAAGAAATCAAAATATCACTTCTGTATAACAAACACCATTTCTTTTTGGGGGTGGGTGGGGTCTCCCTCTGTCACCCTGGGTGGAGTGCAGTGGCATCATCAGAGCTCACTGCAGCCTCGAACCCCTGGGCTCAGGTGATCTTCCCGCCTTGGCCTTCCGCGTAGCTGGGACCGCAACTATGAGCCACCACGCCTGGCCAAACACCATTTCTGTATGTTCCTCTAGTTTCTTCCATTTGCACATATTCCTACACAAGTCTGGGCGATGTTTTTACTGGAAGAGCCCTGAGTCACATGCCCTCGACAGAAGACCAAATCCTCTATTCTACATCTGTGGTTTCCACCAGGAGTCCTGGAGAAAGGAAGAAGGTCCAGAGCCCTGTTCCCCAGCAAGGTCACCCAACAACCAACTGTGAGTGCAGGGGTGGGGCAGACACCTGGGCCACTAGAGCACGTGAGCTGGCCATGGGCTTGTTCGTTCTACACGACACTGCAACAGGCAGAGTCTACACTGGGTAAACCCCCACTCGGGTGACTGTGATGCGTGGAGTGCGTCCCTGCTCTTATGAAGCAAAGCTGAAGTGAACGGCATCCGTGTTCATGCTTCCTGTACTTCGCATTATCACCCACGGAAGGTTTCTGCCAGAAGGCCCTGCAGCTCGGGGTGCGGCAGTTCTCTCTGGAAAGGCTACACCTACACCCACCGTCTCTGCCGGGGCAGGCAGCCCATTTCCACCGCATCTGACAGACGAAGTCAGTTCTATTTTAAGTTGGCTTTTCATTTTAATTTGCATCTTTTTGATCAGTGAGTTTTAGTATTTCCCCATGTGTGTGCTGGTTTTATTTTCAACACTTCCTTAGGTATTTACAAATGCACCATGGTCTATTTTGGACAAAAAGTTTTTTTTTTTTTTTTTTTTTTTTGAGACAGAGTCTCACTGTGTTGCCCGGGCTAGAGTGCCGTGGCGTCATCCTCGCTCACAGCAACCTCAAACTCCTGGGCTCAAGCGATCCTCCTGCCTCAGCCTCCCGGGTAGCTGGGACTACAGGCATGCGCCACCATGCCCAGCTAATTTTTTCTATATATTTTTAGTTGGCCGATTAATTTCTTTCTAATTTTAGTAGAGACGGGGTCTCGCTCTTGCTCAGGCTGGTCTCGAACTCCTGAGCTCAAATGATCCGCCCGCCTTGGCCTCCCAGAGAGCTAGGATTACAGGCGTGAGCCACTGCGCCCGGCCATAGACAAAAAGTTTTTTTCTATAAGTTCTACCCTCTTGTAGAGTTTTATTAAATTCTCTCCCCCGAACAACCTTTGAAAATTTAACTTTAGGAGAAAATTTTGTTGATACGGACAGTAATGCTTCCTGGGCCAAAGGGTAAAACAGTGGTTGGCTGGTTCACGTGAGGCACAGTGAACACTCTGGGGCTCGCTCAAGCAGTCTGGAAACACCGCTCTGCTCTGTCTGCGTCCCAACCTCCGTCACCCCTTGTGAGCCCAGCAAGAGGGCTTCTCCCACCAATGGCACTTCCCCCATGCTGGCACCGTGGCATCACAGTCCTCCCATTTGCCCTGTGCAGTGGCCCACGAGTATCACTGCTGGCGATGTCCTTCCCCCCCCACTGTGTTGGTGGCGGAAGACTGCAGGTACCCTGAGTGCAATCTTCATTTTGATGGTGCTGTTGGGACCTGAATTACTGAGGTGGAATCGCTGATTCAGGGTCATGTCCTCACTGGCCAGCAGCTGGCTGAGGGGGACCCTCAGGTTGCCCAGGGAGCACTGGTGCTGCTCATCTCTGACCTGCAGGGCACAGGGCAGAAAACACAGAGCACGTAGAAAGGTCAACAAAATTAGTCTCTAAAAAACATATTTCAAAAAAGCCCCAAACATGTTTCATCCATATTCTTTTAAGTGCTGTTTCCATAAATGATTAACATAGTATCAAACCTCCTCAGGAAGGCACGAACCATTGCATAAAGCAAAATATCTGTCACGTGTGTCTGCCATCTCCTCCTTACAAAACTAGAATGAGCACAGCGGCAGCAGGATGTTTATGAACCTGCTGTGAGGACCATAGCTCAGAGGTGGCAGTCACACACACCTGATGATAGAAAGGAGTGTCCCCTAACCGAGGAGATGACAGCAACACGCGTGGTAACGATGTAACATAAATGTCTACCAGTGACATTTATGGAGAAAGTACATTTCCAGCGATTTTTTAAGATTTTCCTATTCAAAATCTACATGTTTGAAAAAGAATTTACAATATCTGCTTTAAATGCATGGTGATTTCTTTTTCCTGAATAATGACCTTCACTACTACCTGTGTAATAGGAATTATTCCCCTTAAACTATCTTAATAGAAAAGAGTTTAACAAAATACAGTGAGAACTATACAAAAATGGTCCGAGAAATTAACACATAACTATGCAGGAAAACTTATAAGCCTGATTGCTTATTTCTTTTTAAACTATAATCACAAAAGCACTTTTAAATTAATAACTCTGATAATGTTTATAGAATCTTAAAAGCTATTTTTTAAAATCCAAGATCCAGTAAGTATAAATTATTTTAAGAATATAGTGGTGCAATTTATGAAGGAAAATTAGCTAGACAAAATAAAATCATTTTTGGCCAGATGGAGTAGCACGTGCCTATAATCCCGGCACTTTGGGAGCCCACAGCAAGAGGACTGCTTGAGCCCAGAAGTTCCAGACCAGCCTGAGCAACACAGTGAGACTCCATCTCTACAAAAAATTTCAAAAAATTAGACAGGCATGGTGGCGCACACTTGGGGTGCAGCAACTTGGGACGTTGCAGCGGGAGGATGCTTGAGCCCAAGAGTTGGAGGCTGCAGGGAGCTGTGATGACGCCACTGCACTCCAGCCTGGGTGACAGAGCGAGACTCTGTCTCTTAAAAAAAAGTAAAATAAAATAAAATAATTTTGTATAACACAGAATGTAAAAATGAGAAACAACAAACACGGAATAGTGAAACAGGGCAGGCGTGCCTGTTCACACACCTATTAATGGAGGTTCAAGGTGCACGAAGCAAAAATGGAGACTGAGGAGGGAAAAAAGATAAAAGAGATTTAAACACCAGGCTCTTAATACCTGACACACAAGTGGGTTTAAAGGCCTGAGCGATGCCAACAACTGCCACGACTGACGTCACACGGGCTCCACTGCTCGCAGGTGCATGCGGGGCACAGGTCAGACAGACAACACTCCCAAGCACAAAAGGGCCCAAGTCACACAAAACGTGTACTCTGACCACCATGGGATGAAATGAGAACCAATAATAGAAGACCTATAACAAATCCCCAAACACTTGGAAACTAAATAGCAGATCTTGAAAAAAATAACTCATGGGTCAATGAAAGAAAGCAAAAGAGCAAAAGGAATGAAAGTAAAACAAATCAAACTTTGTGAGGTATAGCTAAAGCAGAACTTAAAGCAAATTAAACACCTGTATTATAAAAGAAGAAATGTCTCAAGCTTCTACTTTAAGAAACTAGGAAAAGAGAAACAAAACTCTAAGTAAGTAGAAATGAACTGATAATAATCATAGCAGAAATCAAGGAAATAAAGACAAAAGCAATAATGATAATGAAACCAAAAGTGGGTTCTTTGAGAAAATAAAATCGATAAGCCTCTTGTAGGGCTGCTGAGGAGGAAAGGAAAGAAGACAGAAATCACCAACTCTTGGGCAAAGAGAAGGGCCATCCCAACAGGATGTTAAAGGAATGTTATGAATAACCTCATGCCAAAAAGATTCCAGCAGATGAAATCAGTGAATTCCTTGAAAGGTATTAATACCAAACATCATCAAGAAGAAACAGATAACCTGCGCAGATCTGTATCTACGGATGGAATGAATTTGTATTTAAACACTTTCTCGAAAGAAAACTGCAGGCCCAGGTAGCTCCACTGGTGAATTCTACCGAATGTGTGAGGAAAAAATGCCAATTCTAAAAAAACTCTTCCAGAAAATTGAAGAGGAGGGAAGATGCCCCAACACCTTCATGAGGCATTACTCTCATACCAAAACTAGAAAAAGACGTTATAAGAAAACAAAATCACAGACCAATATATCCTTCATGACCAAGATTTAAATACTCTTAAAAATTTCAGCAAACTGAACAACAGGTAGAAAGGGTACTATACAAGGACCAGGTGGGGCTTATTCTCGAACGAAGGTTTGCTTGAGAGGGTTTCAAACATTAAATCCGGAAAACCAAACATAGGTTTTCAAGGTTTAAATCCGAAAATTAATCATGTATTTTGCCATATTTAAGACTAAAAAAGAAAAACTGCAAGATACCTCGATGGATGTAGAAAAGCCTTTAATGAAATTCGGCAGCTGTTCATGGTAAAAACTCAGCAAACTGGTGACAGGGGAGAAGGGAACTTTCTCAACCAAACAAAAGGTGTCTCAGGACACTCCAACCACACTGGGCTCAGTGGGGGGACACCTAGGGTCAGGAGGGCGGCAGGGTATCCACTCACACCCCCTCTGCACAGCACAGAGGCCCTGGGCAGGAGAAGGAAGGAAAGGTGTCTGGATTGGAAATGAAAAGGTGGAGGCGTCACATTAACATACAACATGATTTCTATTTTGTAGAAAATACTAAGGTATCTACAAAAATGCTACTAGAACCAAAGAGCAAGTTTAGCAGGGTTGTCTGAGATGATATCAATACAAAAAAACGCAATTACGTTTATATATATATAGTAAAAAAAAAATTGAAAGTTAGAAAAATTACCATTCACAATATCATCAAAAAGCATTAAACACCTAGGGATAAGTTTGACAAAGATAGATGTACGTCTGTACAGTACATTAAGAACTACAAACACTGCTGAGAAAAAGAATGCCTAAACAAATGGAGAGATACACTGTTTCCATAGGTTGGAAGAGTTGGTATTGCTAAGACATCCACTCTACCCACTTGATCCGCAGTTTCAATACAATTCTTATCAAAATTCTAGCAGATTTTCTGCAGGAAGTGGCAAACTGACATTGAAATTCATATGGAAATGCAGACTTAGCATAGTCAAAGCAATTTTAAAAAATAACTAAGTTTGAGGGCTTAAGTTATTTGAAGATTTATTTATAAAGCACCAGTAATAAAGACGGTGTAGTACTGGCATAAACAGAGACATATAGAACAATGGAACAGAAGGAATTCCAGAAATAGACTCCCCGATATGGCCAACTGACTCTCCACAAAGTCGCCAAGCTAATAAAGTAGGGCACAGAATAATTTTTCAGCGAAAACTGCTGAACTGTACGGCCAAATATAAGAAAATGAATCATGACCCTTACCTTAGATTGTAAACGAAAAGGAACCCCCAGATCTACACGTAAGGCCAAAACTACAAAACCTGCAGAAGTCAACAGTGACCTGAGGGTTGGCAAACACTTCTTAACTAGGACACAATGAGCACAGACTAAAATGAAAACAGTGACAAACTTGACTTCAGCAAATTTTTAAATTTCTGCTCTTGGCTGGGCACAGTGGCTCACGCCTGTAATCCCAGCACTCTGGGAGGCCAAGGTGGGAGGATCGCTTGAGGTCAGGAGTTCAAGACCAGCCTGAGCAAGAGTGAGACCCCATCTCTACTAAAAATAGAAAAATTAGCTGGGCATGGTGGTGGCACCTGTAGTCCCAGCTACTAGGGAGGCTGAGGCAGGATCGCTTGAGCCCAGGAGTCTGAGGTTGCTGTGAGCTGGGCTCATACCACGGCACTCTAGCCCGGGCAACAGAGTGAGACTCTGTCTCAAAAAAATAAAATAAATAAAACTTCTGCTCTTCAAAGGACACTGTTATGATAATGTAAAACCAAGCCACAGATCAAGAGAAAATATCTGCAAAACATCTATCCAAAATACTCTTGTTTCTAGAATATACTTTCTTATAATTCAGTATTAAGAAGACAAATAACCCAAGCAAAAAATGGGCAAAGGACCCGAATGGACACCCACAGAAGGGAGGCAGCTGGCAAACAAACACACAAAAAGACGCCTGACATCACTCGTAAGCACATGGAAGGCACGATGAGACAGCATCACCCTCCCTCCCACAACTATGCTGGCAGGACGTGGCGAGAGGGCAGTTCTCACACCTGCTGGCAGGCGTGTAAATAGCGTGATCACACTGGAAAACAATCTGGCGGTTTACTGAGAAGTTAAACATGTACCTACATCCTGTCCCGGGTATTTACCTATGGAAACAAAGGTGTGTGTCCATACAAAGACTTACATGTGAATATTTGCAGCAGATTTATTTTTAATGGGTCTGAACTGGAAAGAATCCAACCTTTGATCAATCTTTTATTGACGGGTGAATAGCTAAGCCAATTGTGACATGTGTACATGTGGAATCCTACTCAGCAACAGAAAAGCACACACTCTGAGTATCTGCAACAACACAGATGAACCTCACAATAACTGTCAGGAAGGAACACAGACACGAGGATCTGTACCGTGCAATTCTATTTACATAAAGTTCAGGAAAATGGGACCAGTGACCTCCAGGACAGAAGCGGACGTGTGCTTTGCCTGGGGAGGCACGAGTCACAGAGTGAACACGGGAACTCGGGGAGGGATGATAGTTAACTATCCAGACTGTGGTGCTGGTCCTCGGTGTACACGCAGAACACAACTCACTGAACTGTACTCCTTGAATGTGTGTAGCATGTGTCAATTATACTGCAACAAATAGGTTAAAAAATGCAAATAAAATACCTCAATTTCAAGGTCCTGGCGCTTGGGATTGTGAATGAAGAAAGTGAAGTTTTCCTCCCACACAGGTTCATTGGTTTTGTACCGAATCTGGAAGAAATATCCAAATATTAGTTCTGTGATATTTTCTGGGCTACCAATGTTGTACTTACTCATTTAATGCATTTGGAAGCTTAGGATGACTTTTTTTTTTTTTTTTTTTAAGAGACAGGGTCCCACTCTGTCGCCAGGTTGCAGTGCAGTGGTCACCACGGCTCCCTGCAGCCTGAACTCCTGGGCTACAGTCATCCTCCCGCCTCAGCCTCCCAAAGTGTTGGCATTACAGGCGTGAGCCACTGCGCCTGGCCAGGATGACTTTAATTAAATTCCAAGGCATATGCTTATGAGTATGTACCATTACATATTAATTGTGGAAAGTGTTCAAAAGACGGAGAGACAATCCAAAGCTTTCAGAGTGTGTGGGAAGTTGACTGCCATGGAACCCAACTTGTATGGCCAGCGAGGAAAGACTTCCTCTGCATGGTGTGGCCTTCGCTCTGCCAGCTCCTAGTGCCTGGGACAGCGCCGCACATGTGCTTCTTACATTATTAACAAAGAAAAGTGAACAATGGCCTATAACTCTGAGTAATTTCCAAAATATTTTCCCTCATATCAGGAAGTAGAACACGCTACAACAATAGCAATACCCTCTTTCAATCCTTGAACCCAGCTGTATTCCTTGAATCGTAAGCACTGTTGGTTAACTTTTAAACAAAACGTTTGTAGAGTACTCAAAAGAAACTTAGGAATTCACCCCATGTATCTACTCATGAAACTAAGCAAAGGCATTTTCATGTATTATGTTCTAATGTTATTTGTTACTGAATTAAGGAGATGGTTTCCCATCAAATGACTAATCCAAGAAAAATAAAGATGTGAAGAGCCACCGTGCCGATGCCTACAAAATCACACGGCATGAGCCATCCGACTGTGGCGTGGCATCCCACCGAGCCTGCAAACAGCGACACATGAGGGTATGAACAGTCGCAGAAGGTGGTAGAAACGTTGGCACCTTACCTTACTCTCTTGAGCCTTGTGCCCAACTGACATCTGGACAAGAGGATTTGGGTTGCTGTTTATTTTCTTCCCTGACTATCCAAAACAAACGAAAAAAAACCAGACAAAATAAATAAATACATTTTGAAACAGATCTTACTAAAAATGAAATTATTGCCTTATATTAATAGTCATTTTTGTTAATCTCTGATACTTCAGATACAGGGAATATCTGGTAACAATTTAACTGGAAAAAATTGCTAAGCACACCCTGAACCATAACTGTATGTACCAAGAAATAAATTAAGAAAACTTCCATTTGCACACAGTTTTTAAATGTTAAGGTTTTTTATTTTAAAGCAAGCTACTTTGGGAAAATTGAATCTTATGAACATCTTTAATGTTAATCACAGTCCTCAAAAGTTATTTTATTTACTGGGATAACAAAAATGAATAAAGAACAGTGAATGGAAACCAAAAACCACAAGAAAAGAAAAATGTAAAAGAATGTATAATTTAGAACAGTCTTCTGGTTGGACTAAAAATACTACAAAGTGTCAGATACATGGTTTTACATTCTTAGTATCTTCTGTTCAAGTGCATATAGCTATCAGATACTAAATTTTGCTTACAAGCTGCTAAGTAATTTTGACTAGAAAAATAAACATCAATTTAGAATCACATTAAATTAAGAAGGTATAAATGCAATGAAGAAATTCAGGAATAGGAAAAACAGTAAGAAGCATACTTCAGCATACACAGTTGATAGAAGAAAACATAGCAAAACACAACATATATGTGACATGAGGTTTATTTATAACTTAGCCCCACGAGAAGATGCAGTTAAATATCTGTGTTAGTAGAAATTAATCAGAAAGTCACAAAAATGTTTTTAGTTAAATAATACGAGTCAATTCTCCACACTGCAGCACTGGCAGAAATAGGTGTCAAAAATCATGATTATTGGAAAAAATATTACTAGCCAAAACCTACTGCGATAATCTATTTTCTGGTCATCTTTTTTGATGTGAATGAACTCTGCAAAATGAAATAAATACTGTTAAAAAAATTTTTCAAGGCTATAGACCA